CGTCTCGATTTATACTATTTTAATATCAAGTGTTTATAATTCTTACAGATTGGTAATTAAAGATATTAACGATTAAAATCATGCATCGGCAAGCATGAAAAGAGAAGTGTTGCAACTATATAAAAAAAAAACAGAGGAAATATGTATTAGTTCTTTAAGCATGTAAGTTAATACTTTCTCCGTTTTTTAATACTTGTAATACACACTTTTTCACTATATATAATTAAAAAATTTGAGTCTCACATAATATAACACACTTAATATGGGGTTGAGTGATTGTTAGGAGTATTAAGTGGCCATGAGCTCTAAATAAGGTAATAGTACATTTTTTACCACGAAATTTTTTCCAATATAATAATAATGTGTTATAAGTATTGTGATATTTTCATTTTAGAAAAGTGTTGCAGTATTAAATAACGAAGGAAGCGTTATTCTTATCATGCATGCATGCTTTTGAAAAAACTAAGATACACAAAGGTTAATTAGGGTAGTCTTATATCACAAATAGACTAAACCCTAGTTTTTGTTTGAAGAAAGAAATTAAATAAAAAAAATTTGCTATATAAATGGATCATCAATATCTTGATAGACTTGACTTATATGATGATCTAACTAACTTTGTAACATAATTGTGTAAGTTAGAAAACATGACAATAATCAGTCTTTATGAGAATGCCCCAGGCCATGTCTGATCCCCTAGCTAACAATTGCTTGTCTATAAGGTGATTATTATTTGACATAAGTTAAGTTGGCGCTTGGGCCTCCCTGAAAATATTAACAATAAGTAATTTATCTCCTTCAATAAAAATATTGATGTTTCTTATAGGAGTATCGCTATGCTCGGCCATGTCATGCATACATGATATATATATAGGTCATCTTGATTTGGATCAATGTTTTTGGTGACGACTTGAAAACATAGAATTGCCCTTGATACTAAGGTCTTGGGAATTCCCTCCAATACGTACCAATTCACTAAAGGATTGATTTGTCATGTTCTAATAGTAATAATATTTGTTGGAAGTTCTTGAGTGAAACACAAAGAAAGGTGAGAAAAAATGAAAGAGAGAGTCCCACTTTGATAATTGTCAAAGCTTTGTGTCGTTAATTCTTTGGAGTAGTTTTGCACTACTTGTTTGAGTAGCGGTAAGTGGGTTATGGGCATCTTATCTTTTGGCACCCGTTATTCTTTGACGGTTTATTATTATTGGAATATTGTATCTATTACAATATTCATGGTCTATTCGTTTGAGTTACGCTCGTTATTAATTTGGGAGTTACGTTCATCAATAACCATTGGCGTAACCCCTTAATTATCTCATTAAGAGAAAGTTACTCCTCTTAAAATGCTGGTCGTTTTCCTTTTTATAGGTTGTTGCCATATCCTTCCATCGATTGATATATATATATATATATATATATATATACATATTTAGCATTCCCAATTTTGAATAGACACACAAAATCAGAAATCCTCTTTCACTTTAAGAAAATACTCCTTTGATTTTGGGCAAGTATTCTAAGTTTCAGTCTCGTTTGTGAGTGCACATGAACTCCGGCAGCGTGATTATCCTGGAGGGCGACCGCTTGTTGCTTGTCTACTGCACCGGGAGGTAGTGCGGAATCGTTTTTTAGATTAGTAGTTCGCCACGACGCAGCAATTGTCAATTTGGTCTACACAATATTAAGATAAGTTTTTTCGTTTAATTTGCTTATTTACTAACAATGTTGACCGAATGATTGATCACATACCTTGATACACGATCAATTGAAGTTATTGATCATGTCCTCAGTTATCTGAATATACGTACAACATATTCATACCCTAGACAACAAATCAACAATCAAACCTGAAATCACTAAACAATTACAGTTGCTACATACTCCAATCCAATTTAAGATTTTGTATCAGTCAAGTAAATAAATTAAATGTGTGCAATGTCAAATCTATGTAAATGCAGCATATATATATACAAGAAGTGAAGTTAACATTTATCAATATCACATGCATTTCTGCCAAAAGCTGCGGACGTATAAATTACCCAAATATTACTTGAATGACGTAAATCAGCCGACAATAATTCTTTTGTACATCCGGGTGTACCATGCGTATGGTACACCCGGAAGAACATCGCCCTATAAATAAAAGAACATTACCTATAAATAGAAGAATATTATATATAAATAAAAGAACATTGCCTATAAATAAAAGAACATTATATATAAATAAAACAATATTACTTATAAATTAAAAAAACGTAGTTATAATAATTTATTATACATTACAAACGAACATAGAGTACATCAAAAAGAACGTTACATACAAAATACAGAACATTACATACAATAAAAGAACATAACTTAAAAATAAAATAACATTACATATAAATATAAAAGAACATTATCTTTCTGAAAATGAACGTTACATATAAATAATGGAAAAATGCTACTACCCAAACTCATGGAAGAAAATGATGAACAACAATGATAGTGCCAAAAATTCAAACAATCAAGTAATTTCATGATAATAAAGCTTTATATGAACAACAAACATTATCACAAAACACAAAATATATGTAAAAATAACAAGCAAAGAGAGAATTCACTATTGAAGCACAACCTAGGGTTTCATATTCATAAGTAGAACAAAGATGAACAAAGAAAGAGAAGTCATACCTCAAATGAGTAGAAAACCCTTATAAAGTGAATTAATAGTAGAAATCAAGCAAGTTGAACACTCAATTGCAAGTTTTTTAGCCAAAATAAAAAAAATACCCAAAATTCTCAAATCATGAAAAATCCAAAAATTTGGTTGTGAAATTCGGATTTTGAAGTGTAAAATCTAGTATAAATGTGTTTGTGAGTGATGAATTAAGCGCATAAAAACTATAAAAATCAAGAAATAAAATGGAAGAAGAAGTTAGAGGGAGAGGAGAGAGAGTATTAAAGAGAGAGAAAATGAATGGGTGAAATAAACATTACATTACATATAAAAAAAAGAACATTACATATAAATAAAAGAACATTAAATTTGTCCCAATGTTCTTTATATATATGTAATGTACTTCCGGGCGTACCATGCACATGGTATACCTCCCTCTACCATACTATTTTCAGACATATATATTTACATTCATTTCAACTTCAATTTTACACGTACAAATCAAAATCAAAATCAAACTATATATTATAATTATAAGTACTTCGTATATAAACTCATTTATTTTTATTTTTTTTTTCATATTATTACTGACATTATTGCTTCGACTATACGTTTGTGCACAAGTTGAGTGCACGATTTATTAAATATATTTGGCCAAGATTATATGAAGTATTAGTTAGAGTTAGTAACTAGGGATTGGATAATAATTGATCAAGATTAGGAATTGACCCATGAATCAAACCAAAAGATTACAATTACAAAATTAAGGATTAGGACAATCCAAAATGTGTCTTGTTCATGGAGGGACCATACTATACTAGGATTAATTATTGTCTTTTATTAATTAGAACTTCACTATGTAGTTATTTTTTTCATTTGATAAACCTACATAGCTCAAGTAGTCCAAGAATTATTAATTGGTTTCGGTTAAATGATTGTTACACTTTTCCTAATGGTATCATATGCATGTGATCATATTAAAGTCTTCAAACTAATACTATAATTATAAAATAACTGAGCTTTAATGCATGTTGGTGTCATTTAGGTATTATTATGAGTATTTATTGTTAATAGGTGATAAAAACTCAAGAATAACTTCATCAAACGTTTATCAATCATTCATCAATGGTGAGAATGCGAGAGTGTGAGACAATTGACTTTTTGGTAGACTTTTGGCTTGTTGGTGTTCTATTTTAGGCCATGTCATTTGATAACCCTAGCGGAAATGAAATTCAAATTGACAAACGAGTTGAAGTAGTAGCTTAAATTAAAAGGTAAATGAATTTTGTATCCTTTGACAAAATTCATGAGCAAACATTGTTAGGCAAGAGGATGAATCAATACTCCATAAGCATGTAATTAACGCATAGATTAAAAAAAATAAATTTAATAATAAAGTACAACTTGCTTCATTAACTTTATCACGGAGCACTCCACCCTCTTCCCATAAGTACCAGTCAAACTATTATATTCAAACTTCACATATAGTACGTATAATTTAGAAAAAACAACATAATGTCATTAAATAAATCATCATTTATAAAACGTAATTAGTTGGATCATTTTCATACTCTTCCTATTACTCAATCTTCATAATACATAAACTATTTAGTGTACTCATATCCACTATATTTTATAATACATAAACTATTTACTCAATCGATCAATTTTTATGAAGTATGAAGTACTATTTAGTGTACTCATATCCACTATATTTTGGATGCTGTTCCAACATATTTACTCTATTTCTACTCAGTTGATGCAACTTATCATTTCATTTTTACATAAAGTAGGAATTTTTTTTTCATAATGAAATGAAAATTAAGTACTCTAAACTTATGACGAATCATGATTCACCTTGCTCTGATCTGTTAACATGACGGGGTGACAAGAGCATGACAATGCTTGCATGGGTGATTATGTTAAAATTACAGACATACGAATTATATTGCAATTATTCATAACATGACAATGTTTGCATGGGTAATTATGCTTAATTAAGAAATAAGGAAAGAAATAATAGGAAGAAGATTGAAGGAAGGAGATGAAGTAATATATACCAGTACTCCAGTAATACATAGTATATATGTGTGTTTGGTGTATAAAAGGGAGTATTTGATGAGTGGTTTAGCCAGCTTAGATGTACAAGGATGCATCTCATCTAAGAATATGCCGGTTGCAAGATTACAAAAATGTTGACAGAAATGGGCTTAAAGTATATGAGTATTGGGCTCAAAATGTATACATAATGGGCTCACTTAATTGCTTCATGGATCTGCTCCAAAATTTTGAAAATTCTAGAAGAAGAACACATTCTACGGTTTTCCACATAACCCACTACATTACTAGAATTCTCTCATCATTTCCTTTAGATATCATTCTTTAGTAATTACCGAACTTTCAAGACTTCTCTTTACAACACTTTCGTACAACTATAAATACACAACATTTCACTAGCAAACTCATTGCAAAAAGTTAATCGATCAGAGCCAACCAAAACAAATAACCACACGTCCCACACAACATTATTTACTACGTTTTAGTTCGTAACACCAAACACGTTAAATTGTTGATTTGGCAAAAATGAGAGCACTAGAATGTTTAGTGTTATCCCTTGCATTAGTCCTTATGTTACACCCATTACAGGGGTCGGCAACCATATTACCATGGGCAGACCGACCCCCTAGTTTATTATCAGAGCTATGGCCGGAAAGGATACCAGATCCTTTCCGGATCCTAGAGGAAATACCCTTCTCGGCCCTTGATAGGGACTTGGATCCTATCATGTCTTCCCCTGCTAGGGTCGACTGGAAGGAGACCCCAGAAGGCCATGTTATAGCCATGGACGTTCCGGGGCTAAATAAGGAAGATATAAAAATAGAAGTGGAGGAAAACCGGGTGTTACGAGTAAGCGGGGAGAGGAAGAGGGAGGAAGAGAAGAAAGGCGATCATTGGCATCGTACTGAGAGGTGTTATGGTAAGTTTTGGCGGAAGTTCCGAGTACCGGAAAATGTTGACATGGATAGTGTGAAGGCTAAGCTTGAGAATGGAGTTTTGACTATAAATTTGGCGAAGTTGTCACCTGACAAAATTAAGGGGCCTAGAACGGTTAATGTTGAAGGAGGTGACAATGAGACTCCTAAAATTACTTCTGGCAACCAGAAACAAGAGTTGTAAACTTGTAATGTGGGAGCATGAAATTTGCTAGTATGATCCAATGCTTTAAACTTGTGTAATGGTTTGCATGTTGTTTGTGTGTTGACAATAAAAGTATGTACCGGTTTCAAATATAGTAAAATAATATAGAGCTTATTTTTGTGTGTGTATTTTTTTTTTTATTTTTTTTTTTTATTGTGAGTGGTGTTAGATTAGGGAATGATAGCAATAATGGAAAAGCAAACGAATGTATCCAAATAAGTTAACTAAAAGTAGAAATATTAAATTAAAATGAACATTAATTACAGTGATGCGTAATTTTGTCATATATTCCCAAACTAATTTTACTTCAGAAAATATTTTAAATGATTATCTAACGTCTAAGGACATCCGTTAGCAAGATCCTAATAATAATTAGGAAATTTTAACAACAACAAACTAACTTTGTTTCATTTTCTAAAATGAATCAACCTTTAAATCTTTTCAAAATAAACACAAATTTATATTTTTTCTCCCATATTAAACCAAGAAGGTAAGTTGACCTGTTATATCAGGTTGCAATCCACATGTCGTCTCCTCGTTGGTTATTTTTTTAAAAAAAAAATTGATAATTTTAATAAATTATTTATTTCATTTATAAAATTCTGATAATAAAAAAAATAAAAAAAAACATCCTTCCCCACCACTGCTAGCCCCGGCACCCAACTCGATTTCCTGGTGCCGGAAACCACCACCCCTCCCCATCCCAAATGCCTAAAGACTCGCAATCATCATCTTCAGAAACCTTCTTCTTCAACTGCTCAGTTAATTTCGAGGCATGGAAATTCTTTGGGTGGAGAATTGAAGCACCAGCATCGAAGGTATTGTTAGCAATGGTGATTGGTGATAGTAGCTATACGATCTCCGACAACGGAGTTTTTCTCGAAGACCTGTATAGCGGCGATTGGGGAGGGTTCCGGCGAGTAATAGCGGAGGAAATGGGAGACTGATGCGCCGGAGATTTCGCTTCCGATGATGCAGACGGTGGTTGGAGGTGGGCGGAGAGGAGATAGATTGGGAGGGAAGAAGAAGGAGGAGGAGAAAGAGGAGATATGGGAGAAGTTGTAGTGGTTTCATGGTGGGGGGAGGAGGGGCAAGCTGTGAGTGGGCGTCTGAGTTTTTTTTTTTTTTTTTTTTTTTTTTTAATTTTATTTTGTTAATTTAAAAAAGGTAATTAAAGGAAAATATAAAAGTGACCGATTGTTCTGGTCACAAGTCATTTTGGTTTAATATGGGAGAAAAAATACAAACTTGTGTTTATTTTGGAAAGATTTAAAGGTTGGTCCATTTTAGGAGAAAGGGTAAAGGTCGGTTCGTTGTTGTTAAATTTTTCTAATTATAAGTTTATTCAAGTATAATAACATTAAAATAACATGGTATAGTAATATTTCAATATAATTTGCACTTGCTTATCAAAAAATTTGATACACTTGTATAATTCCAACAAACTAAAATTTATTTCTTCTATAATCATTTTAGAATTTATAAACACAAATAATTCTTTTTAATATAACTTTATTGTTATAATAAAATGTGTCATTGAAGTGGTGGTTAAATACTAACATCAATGAATGTGAGATCATGGGTTCAAATTATTCTTTTGTTCAATTCCCTAAACCAATTTGTTATAATCATTTGGCTTTGTCCAATTTACCGCTCAACAATTAAGTCTAACTTCGTTCCTCTTAATTAAAGCACTCCGTAATAAGTTTGAGCCAAAAACACGAGTTAGATCTGACCTGATTCCGTAACTTAAAACGAGTCAAAAAATAGTCGTGCTGGATCCAAATCAGCTTGTAGTAAAACTGTAAAAGGGAAACAAGGTGTTCCAATCTAACATAATCCAGAAGTCAATTATCTCCGATTCACCATTGCTCTCTTCTCCTATTCGACGATCTTCAATCATCATCTGATTTTCCAGATAACAATAATAATTGACCCCATTTCCATTCTCTCTCCTCTTTCACCAACGCTCAGCTTCTAATCCTTTTATTCTCTGGTATTTTCTCTCTCCTCTTCACTGTATTTAAGCGTTAAATTTCCAATTTTTTTCACCATTTTTCATTCGAATTGTTCTTCATTTATGTGAACTGTAGCTGAAAATCCCATTTCTAAAACCCTTAATTGCATTAATCTCTTATTTTGTTGTAAAGGGGTTGGACGAAAGATTTGATTTGATGGCATCGACATTTGTGAACAATAACATCCCCTGTAATGCTGGATCAATCAAGGGTTTTAATAATTCTCAGAGAAATTTGGGGTTTTGTTCAAATTTTGGGTTTAATTTTACGAAAACCCGAGTTTCTGATTTTGGGAATTCTGTCCGGAAATTCCCTTCGTCATTAGTGGTGAAGGCGAGCGAGAAGAGAGAGAATTTGACTGAGCAGAAAACAGGTTTGAGTATTGAAGAATGTGAAGCTGCTGTTGTTGCTGGGAATGCGCCTTCTGCTCCTCCTGTTCCTTCCACTCCTAAAGCACCTTCTGGCACACCTTCTATCTCTCCCCTTGTGAGTTTTCTTATTACTTCTTCCGTTCTTTAATTATCGCAATTTAAGGGATGCTCGGTTTTTTAATAGGGACTCGTGTGATGAGGAGAGAGATAGATAATCTAGAAATCGATTGATGTTAAAGTAGTTGTGTAACTTTTCAAAAAGGAAATTTTTGCGATTTCTTTCTTTAATTGTCTTGCTGGTGATCATGTTATTTGATGGGAAATTTGTAGGGTGTTGTTGCAGACTTGCAGCTATTCATAGCAATAGCATTATAATTAGAAAGATAGGTGATCTGTATTATTTATCCATGTGCATTGCGGAAAAGTTGAGGTATGCAGCAAAGAGGTTGGCTCTACTTCATAACTAAGCCATGGCAATGCGGCGATCTCATCTGAGCCTTAGCTGTAATGCGGCGATCTCATCTGAGCCTTAGCTGTCTCTAATTGGCTTTGACCACTGTATTGTCCTGAAAAATGATGACTTTAGGCCACCATCTTTTGTTTCCTGTTGAGATAGAATATGCTCTAATTGGTTTGGTTTGTATTAATTTGATACAACAGTGTGATCATTGAGGATGAGTAATCGTCCTTGTATTGTAGTTTAGTTTAGCGATTGTGTCAATGTGTACTAATTACTTGCTTTAGAATTCTTTATTATATTCAAATTGCTGTTTACTTATATGGTTTATATATTATGTATTTAGTATTCTATTTCTTATTGCAATGAGATGGCTTTGATTAACTCTTCCCTTTGTACACCAGTCACTAGGTCGGCGTCCTCGTCGTAATAGGAGATCAGCTGCATTTAGATCAGCATTTCAAGAGACACAATTATCCCCTGCCAATCTGGTTTATCCATTGTTTATTCATGAGGGTTAGTACATGTGGCTAGATAATTCCTACTTTTCAAACATTTATCCTCTTTTAACTTGGATTCTCATATGGGTATATTATTTTGACTTTCAGGAGAAGAGGACACGCCTATTGGAGCAATGCCTGGATGTTATAGACTTGGATGGAGGCATGGCCTTATAGAAGAGGTAACTAATCTTAATTTGCTGAAGATATTTATTGTGTTGACTTAATTAAGGTAGATTATCTTTGAAAACTGCATTCTGTTTCATATCTGTAGCACACTGCTGCTGGACATATGCGTTGTAACTGCTCTTTTATCGTGTCTACATTGTTGACCCTTGTCTCAACTAACATATGTCATTCTTCTGCTGAACATATATGAGTTCAAATGTGAATCTTGACCTAAAACTCTTATCTACAATATGATATGCTTCAAGTATTATACATCATAATGATGCATTTTAGGGCTATGTTTTAGACAAATTGGCTGGAGCTTGATTATTTCTTGGGCATCATTGTGGAATGATCAATGATATGCAATTCGTTGCCTCAATATTGATTATGTAAGGTCAATGGATTGATCTGCAAAACCTTCCATCCATGAACTATGATCATGATAATTTAGTGAGACTATTGAGGTGTTGATGACCATCTGCTTTTTAATTTTGTTCCAGAGTATCATGTAATTTGATGATGTGTGAGTCAATCTGAGTTGCTGCTCATTTGTGGGATAAAAAAATTTGAATGAGTCTCTCGTTCTGTTAGCAGCTGCTAGGGATGAGCCTATCTACATTTGAAGCTCACTAGATCTTATTCATAGCAGCTTTTATACTTAGTTTTTTCTGTAGCTGTGGGATATGAAGCCAGACAGTTGGTATTTTTCTTGAAATTTAAGCCAGAGGTGGTGGTATGCTAACATAGAAACGAACCGCTATAATTTGGTAGTCTGATTGTAGTGGTTGCTGGTTTCAGAGACCCTTACCTTCCCAATAGGGCAGGGGGGACTTCATCCAGTTTTGGTCGTTTATGGGGTTAAAAGAAGCAGTTAATTAATGGCTTTTTTCTTCTCAAAAGGAGGGCTAGTTTATCTTACATGAACATTAATTTTCCCCCTTCCTTACAATGAATCTGTACCCAATGTACTCGACCAAGTCTCGTTGGCCTTGTGGAATCCCCCAAACACAGGAATGAATTATTCTCTACTCTTTTTATATATGCTGGTTCAGAGGCTCCCTCTTCACAACCAATTCACCCCCCCCAAAAAAAAGGTCTTAAGCAAGAACATGGGTGCTTTGTTGACTGTGATTTTTTTATGAGTCGTTGAGTTATATTGATGCATAAGTTGCCTTTTTAATGCTATATGGCTTATATAGGCGCCTATAAAATTTTGGGAAAAGCCAATTCCAATCAAGGACGAGAACTATCTAAGTTGGAAGAAAATGAATCTCGGAAGACCTTCCAAGCTATCTGTTGACATTTTCTGGTGATTAAGGGGATCAACATTGAAAACTTTTCATAATTATTCCCTTGTGTATAGTATAGATATTCTCTCATGTATAGTATAGATATTCCAAACATGCAGTTTATCTTCTCTAGAAATTTTAAAATAATTTAGATATAGATTTTTGATCTGATTGCTTTATACTTCATCAGGTCACAAATCACAAGGGTTTTGAATGTTTGAGCTTGTTGGAATCCTGTGAAATACCTACCAGTTCCATAATCAAACTAGACCTGTAGACTTGTCAGTTCATAGCGTCAGTGCCCTACAAGAGTCCTTCACAATATGCTTGCATTGTCCACAGGTAGCAAAAGCCCGTGATGTCGGTGTTAACAGCATTGTGCTCTTTCCAAAAGTCCCTGATGCTTTGAAGGTAATTTACTTGTTTTGCATCACTGTGACTTCCTTCCTTCTTATGTCAATCATCCCCTGCAAACAATGACGAAGTACCATATATATATTTATAGTCACCCACAGGCAACGAGGCATACAATGAAAACGGTTTAGTGCCCCGGACCATACGAATGCTGAAGGACAAATTTCCTGATCTTGTAAGTGTAGTACAGATACTATCTATCGGTTATACATTTAGGTGCCTCCATTATTTTTCTTTGACAACAATATAATTTTGGCAGGTAATTTACACGGATGTTGCCTTAGATCCATATTCTTCAGATGGGCATGATGGTATTGTTAGAGAAGATGGTATGTGAGGCTAAGTATGATAATTCTGGATGTTTGTATTTGCTAAATATTAAAATTTGTGTGGCAGTCTATTGTTAGATTAAGTAATTGTATCGTATCTAATGCTTTGCAGGTGTAATTATGAATGATGAGACAGTGCACCAATTATGCAAACAGGCTGTTGCCCAGGTAATGCTGATTTTAACTTACATCTTTTGAAAGTTTGAGTATAATGGTTCTCATGAATTTTAGTCTAAGCTGTTAAAATTTCGCCCTAACCTCATCTTTAGGAAATGTTAAAACTTTCAATCAATAACTGAGTTGCTGAAAATTGCTCCACTATACTGAGGTTTGACTGTTTGAGGAGTTCCACTTTGTGTCTGCCTTCCTTTTTTACTAATGAGTCAATAAAACTCTAGGTTTGTTCTTAATGTCAGCTTGTGATAAGTGATTGATCATCGAAAATTACACGGATAAGCAGGTATTAAATGTGTTAGGTTTTAATGATTATTATTAATATTCCCTAAAGATTAAATTGGGTTTGTTATAATCATTTGACAATTTTCAGTATTTTCTGCCATGGCTTCTACCAGGAGAGTTCCTTTTTTTTAAAAAAAATAAAAATTATTCTGTATCTCGCTCGTTCTTTTTAACATTGTGGGATAATCCTATTGTATAGGCCCGTGCAGGAGCAGATGTTGTCAGTCCTAGTGATATGATGGATGGTCGTGTAGGTGCAATTCGTGCAGCACTTGATGCAGAAGGATTTTCTCATGTTTCGATCATGTCCTATACAGCAAAGTAATTTACTTACCTGATAGAAGTATGTTTTTTCTTGTCACTTGCAGAAAGTTGAATGTATGTTCATAAGCAGATTTTCTTTCTTAACATTGTCGTTTGCAAAAACCAGTGATTTGCTCATAATTGGTTTCGGCTGGCTTCCAAGCTCTGACATTTTTTTGATAAGAATGAATATCATTTAGTACTGATGACTATTCTTTTTACTTAGGTATGCAAGTTCATTCTATGGTCCATTCCGAGAAGCTCTTGACTCTAATCCACGCTTTGGGGACAAGAAAACGTATGTATACTTTTGGATTTTCTCTTTTTGTAAACTTGGGTTTGCATTTTAAAAATCATGCCTGAATTTTTGTCTCTTCTGATCTTGTCGGATGGAATTAAAAGCTATCAAATGAATCCAGCGAATTATAGAGAGGCTTTAATTGAAACTCAAGAAGATGAGTCAGAAGGAGCTGATATCCTACTGGTTAGTTTCTTAGTAAGCTAGATATCAATGATTTCTGGTGTTTGCTCAATGATATCAAATGATTTCTTGGATTTGGCTTATAGGTAAAACCTGGACTTCCGTACTTGGATATAATCAGGCTTCTTCGGGATAACTCCGCTCTGCCTATTGCAGCATATCAGGTACATAGGACTTCATATGCCCTTTTTTTAACTTGCGATTAAGGCTAGAAAATAGGTGGGTTAAAAAATATAATGTTATTAAAAATTTGACAAGTGGGACACTAGCATTTGTTATCAGGGAAAGAGGGACTAGGCATCACCTAAAATTAGCTTTTTTGAACTAGTTGGAACTTACCTGAACTTATTTTACTTTTGAATTTAGCTTAGGTAGCCATATGAGTTTTTGTTGAAACTTATCTGAAGCAATTCTTGAAACTTACATGTTTGAGACTTGGAGGTTAGAAAACAAAGCCTTAGCTTAGCCTATTTAAATCTAAATCCTGGCAATAAACCAAAGCACTCTTGGGTTTTTGAATCAAAATTTAAAATTCTCCGCTTCAATAATATCACGACAATTGAACTACTCTGCTGAAGCTTGATGGAGTATTCTGCCTTTTCTAGTCAAATTAATTAATTTTTTTTCTCCTTCCTGGTGCTAGGTTTCTGGTGAGTACTCCATGATAAAGGCAGGTGGGGTTCTCAAGATGATTGATGAGGAGAAGGTCATGCTAGAATCGCTTTTGTGTCTGCGTCGGGCTGGTGCTGACATCATTCTTACATATTTTGCCTTACAAGCTGCAAGATGTTTATGTGGAGAGAAGAGATGAGTCCCTTTGTAGCTCACCATGGACCGTATCATTGGAGATGGGCAGTGAAAATCGCATTTAAGAGGGGTAGGGCAGGGGTATGTTCCGAGATTTATTCTCCATTGTTCTTGGTTGAGTGTTATGTAGCTAGTTTTTATCAGGCTTACAGGGTCCTCGGTAAGCATATTCGGGAAATTAGATAAAAGTTCAGGAGAGTCTCTACACATTACATTACTAACATTGGACTGCAGGGGCTTGCATCAGCCCCTTCCCACTATTTGTAGATGTCTTATGGCAATAATAGTTAAAGGTTCTAGTAGGCATTTTGGCTAAACTTTGTCAATTCTCAAACAACAGAAACAAGTGTAGTTATGCTTGTGACTGTTGCAGGATGGCAAGTTGGTTGCGCTAACTCTATGCACGCACCCGGCTCCTGGTTTCAATAGTGATCCCCCTCGACCCCTTAATATCCCACGACTATGGTTTTGTTACTTGTATATAAGTGCTCCTTAGAATGAATTACGGAGTACTATTATGGCATAATTTGCTACCTAACATCAAACATGATAATACAGCAGTCATAATATATTTCATGCATTTAAAAGAAATATAATGACAAAATACACTTATAAATGATGGCTACTAAACATAACCCTACATTTCCAAAGGTAAACTTTGTACCAGAATACCTCCAACTAAGAAGGGAAACTTTGGAGACAAAAAAATTACCTAAAAAAGGGTTACGTTAAAAAAAGATTGAGATTTAATCTAGCTTCTAAGATCTCAATATGTACTAAAATATTTTGGGGAAAACAGATAGTCTGCAATCTGCATCATTAATTTTCATTCAAGTATCTTTCAGCAATGGAGGCATGTGTTGCAGCACCTATAGGGAGCATATCTTCATCGAGGAAGAAACGAGGTGAATGTACTGTGTGTGTTGATCCTAATTCCTCGTTCCTTATACCAATGTAGTAAAATGCAGCAGGGATTTCTTTAGAGAAGAATGAGAAATCCTCTGCTCCCATTATTGGAGGCGCAATTCCAAATTTCTCCGGTCCAAGTAAATCTATGGCCACCTTCTTTACATGTTCGTGCATACGATTGTCATTCACTGTTGGAGGGTAGATAGTATATTCTTTCTCGAAGAAGTCCAATGTCGCTGAGCATCTATACACTTTCACTTGCTCCTTAATCACCTACAAGTAACATACAGAGTAATGTCAATTAAATTGTCAAGAGAACATTCATTACTATCGCGATTAAAGGTGAATAGAATGTACCTCTTCTATTCTGCGTAGGAGCTTATGCATATCAGAGAAAGCGCGGAAAGTGCCAGCAATGACTATATCTTCAGGCACAAAACTAAATTGGTTTCCACCATCAACCCAAGTTACTGAGACAACCTGATAGATTCATGACATACTATGAGATCGTCTAAAATTACCAAAAATAATGTTCTATTTGAGAAGCGAAAATTGAATAACCTGAGAATCTAAAGGATTTGCTTCGCGGGAAACAATGCCTTGCAGGCTGATTACTGCAGCTGAAGCAGCCAAGATAGTGTCAGAACGGTGAAGCTGATGGCCACCACCGGAACTACGGTTAGCACTGATCACAGCCCGAAAAAAGCCACAACCAGCCAGCAATGGACCACTTCTTGAAAAAATGGTTCCTGAAGGATAATTATGGGAAACATGAACTCCAAAGATGGCTTCAACATCTTCTAAGGCGCCTTCTGCTATCATCTGTTTCGCTCCGTTCCCTTTCTCCTCTGCTGGCTGAAATAGGAGGATTACCGTTCCCTGTATGTTAAGGTGACATCAAAAATTAGCAGTAGATAACCTGTAACGTCGAATGTAAAATTATTTGCATTCTATCAATTCCATACTAAGCCAATTTAAATACAAAGCTCAAAAGTTCAACTCTTAACATTAATTGTAAGGAATGGAGGAAGAATTATGTACTCAAGCCAAAATATTATGATCAAAATCAATTGAAACTACAACTATGAACGATAAAGTTTGTAATGAGGTTCAATCACACAAGTTTACAACTAATTGGAAATGAAAGTAGTCCCAAAGAGTTGCAAACAAAGTCTTGTATTCAACTTCAGATGTAGGTTAACAACTTATGAGTTTTAATGTTAGAATTACAGTTGATGAAATGTCGCCTATTATTTGAGAATATAGGGAGTGTTATCATATGCCAAAAACCAAAACTAAACTGCATCAAGACATGTTAATTTAACTCGGACTGATAATATAACCTTATCGTAAGTAATAATTTAATGAATTTCCAAAAAGTTGTAAACTTTTATGATTTTATTATCTCTGACGCAAACTTTCCAACAAAAACAATATTCTAATCACTTAAAAAAAACACAACTTTTCTGTTAAAGAAAGTGATATTTAAGTAAAATACAGTAAATAAAAGCATATCAGCCTATTTGATGAATTGTTAAACAACTCAGATCACTGACATCTGTATCTCTCAATCGAGGGTAGTTCATTTTAATTTAAAATTGGAGGGGAAAATTAAACCGATTCTATTAATTTAAATAAAGCTCCGTCAAAGTAACAAAACTTTGTAAACTCGAGCTAGAATAAAAATTAGGGAGTACTATCGAGGCCAATTGAGGCACTTCACTAATCTACTTAATCAGCAACTGTATTTCCTGCCCTCTTAACCTTTTTACGTGTCAACAAAAAACAGCTTCAAACAAAAGATTAATTTTTTTTTTCTAGACTGAACCTTGAGTTTTGGCCACTATTTGTTCATGACTATCATGAGGCCATATATTTAATCAAAAGATTCTCTTATAAGTCGTAATCTTTTTTGTACAAATAACAATCAAGTAAGCATCACTGACTCTGAAAGACAATAACAAACCATATTATTTGTAACATATAAATTGGCTGTTTCAAACAATCCAAACAACATATACAAATGATCTTTTAATTAATGGATAAAAGTGTGTATAAACATACATTGTACCTCAATTAAGCAAAATATTTTACCATAAATAATATTTTAGAGAATAATACATGTCAATATGCCATTCATTTGAAACCCCAAAACATATAGAATATGATTCTTCATCCTTAATCTAGTCGTATGATAAGTTTATTTTATTTTCGCCAACAACTTTAGACCTGTACCTCATCACTTAGCCTAAGAAAACCATAACAATTGCATAAAAGGCAAATGGAATTTTTAGTTTGATCCTCCAAGAGACATGTTCAGGTAAGGTTAGATCAGTGCTGATAAGCAAACTAAGATGAACAGAACAAACCATAGCCTTTTTTTTTTTTTTTTTTACACTGTAATTCATAATACATGCATGTATCATTTTACGGATATAATTACAATCAGACAATAACATGTGACTGTTGTAATATTATACTACTATATTTGAGGGGGGGATTGGATAAGAGACGTATCGACATAAAATTAGAAACTAGTGTCATATATCCACAAGAAGTAGTCATTTTCAATAGCCGTGAGAAACCAGAAATGAACCACAAATAGGAATGAAGTACTAATGCATGTATATATATGTGGAACAAGATAAGAGCAAAATTCAATGTCCAATTCATTTCCCATGATGTAGATTAAAACAGAAATACATAGCAAATAATAATTTATTTCCTTTAGTATGAAACCAACATAATCAATGTATATTCAAGGTTGTCCATATATGATTGTGAGTGTTGCATTCATATTAGTTGGAATTTTTGGAATGTTGTTGATTTTATTATAAGGTGCAAGTTGAATCACATCAATAGGAATTATAGGACCACTTAGATGGTCATCTTTTTCTTTGGTTGGAAAACGTCATCACATCAACACTAGGTTTGCATCACTTTCTATTATTAATATCATAACTTGAAACATTTCATATGGGTTGGAACTCGTGGTACACGAAATTGTCTCAACTCATTATCACCCGGCCTCCAATTAAAACTGTGATTTAGTTTTTGTTGGATATACCGTGATTTGAAAGTAATGCTTGTCTTACATTTAATGTCGTAACATATATTTGCATGGCATATACCACAACCATGTTAGTGTGAGTAAAAGAATAAGAACATTTAGAAGTTAAGACAAATGGAGAAAGAAAAAAAAAGGTGATGTTATAGGCTACCAACTAGTTATGTATCATTCTCCCAAACATTGAATGTTAACTTTTGTTAACATCAACCAAATTACTCTAATGAGATCTATGGTTTCCCAATTATTTCTCTATTGATGGCTTTTAATGAGCTCAAAAGCCAAACAAATAAATACTTCGTACGTATATCCATTGCACATGCTTAAAAATTTGGAACTTATTTGAGCAATGAATGAAAGAAGAATTTCTAGCCCCAGCACATTTTCATGCATTACAGCAAATCAAAGTGACATTGATTTAGACTGGACAAGTATGTATTAGGCTGAACTTGGTAAGGACTCCAGGAATGAATTTAAATGTACATATTACTACTTCGTTCCACAATTAATTGTCACATTCGATCATAACCAAAGACGTGTACATATTACTACTTCGGTCCACAATTAATTGTCACATTCGATCATAAGCAAAGACATAACACGTACAATCATGCAGAAAGAATGTAATCTTCCTATATTATGACGTGACAATTTTTTTTGGCCATTATAGAATAATAAATGCAAAATAACATAAAAACGACTAGAGCATAAACTACCTTGAGAAGATGTTCGCGAGATTTAAGTATTTTGGCCGCGCCAAGAACCATGGCAACATGAGCATCATGGCCACAAGCGTGCATTATGCCATCGTTTTTGCTCTTATACTCCCATTCAACAGCTTCCTGCAGTCATATAATGAAGTGAGGTGTCTACAACAAAATTATTAGTGCTAAGACTTGTTCCAAGTTTTGTTTATCGTTCATTACCACATTATCAAATTAATAATAACAATTTGAATGTTAAACTTTATTAAAAGCATTGAATATATATCAGTAATATCACTTATCACATCAAACTATTGCTTTGAGGAATCCTTTAACCTACCCAATCTAAATGGCCACATTCTCACAAAATTATGACACATCCGATCCCCAAATAATTCACTTATTCTCATTTCAGAATATATAATTAAGATGTATATGGAAGCCTAAGCTAAAATGTCTAACTCCTGGCCTATTGAAAATTGTATTTAAGTTTTGCATGACTTTAAATTTGTCTTTGATTCCGTTAATGCACATATATCTCACAAATAAATAAAAACTATTTTTATGTCTATAAAAAGTGAACGGATATATAAAATCATATACACACGTGTATAGATTAAGTAATGGTGCATTTGAT